TAGCAATTAAGATTTATGTGGTAGTGTATTCAGATTAATTTTCTTGTATTTCTAGGAATATTAAAGGTTGATGTTTGACTGGGATATTGCTTATTATACATATCCTGTCTGCAACATCTTTTGTCAGTTCTTAGAATTGTTTACCTCACATTTCATGTTTGACTCACATAATAACCTCGTGACATTTCATACCATTAAAAGAATCTCATGAGTTCATCCTGTCTTCTATCATTGCATAATGATAACATGGTAGATTTGAATAGCTGAGAATTTAGATTAAAATACCAGTACAAATGCAGAAACTTTACAAGTAGTTTTGTAAATGTTAAGAGGTTTATAATTATTTACTCAGAATTATAAATTACCCAAAAATAATAAAGAAAAAATTTAGCAAAAAAGATTTAAAATTTCTTGGAAAGAAAAGAAATAAAATTCCATGTAAACTGACAACATACAAAAATTATTTCAATATTACTGGGATTAGGTTACCTAAATTTTAAAAAAATAAGGATGCTATTTCCAGTTTTTGAAAAACATTCCAAGAGAATTTATTCTTTACTTTTTTTGCTGATTATAAAAATTCTTTTGTTTGAATATTTTTTGCTTTATTTAGTTTTTTTCAGACATGAGAAGTCAAAAATTCTTTGAATTAAAAAAGAATATTGCTTGCTTAACTTTTCTCTGTTTACTTAATACATTTCTTCTTGATGTGTTGATGAAATGTTTTCTTCAATTAAGTTTGAATTTTATTTTTATTATTGCAATAATTATTTTAACCCTGTTTTAGGATCCTTTTCTTAAATGTCCTACCCTTTCAGGTGATTATGGCTCTCCACAGATTCCTTTTCTTTATTATCTGTCAATTACCTTGCATTCTTGGGAAATATTGTTGATTCCAATATCTACTGGGAATGACTGCAAAATATTTGTCCCTTCCCAGACACAAGCACACAAATGAATGCTGGAATTATTTCCTAGCCAATAAAATTAGTCAGTTCTTGGTTCAGTCACATCTGTCATGTCTTGAAATCAGAATGCTACATTTGCTTGTCTGAATTTGCTTTTGTGTGTCAACTTCAGTTCTTAGTTTGTGAACTTTTTGTCATATTGCCGTTGCTTTGCCTTATTACTGTTAATTTGCCTTGCATATATTATTTGGTTTCTTTATATTATTTTTGGCCCTGTTCTTTTCTTTTTCTTGTTCTTGCTTATTGCAAACTTTGTCAAGTCTGTTTATTGGAAAGTTCTGTTACTTATTTTGTATTTAACCATGGGTACTGACTCCACAAATATAGTGAAGTGATTTCCAGTTGCCTTCTCTAAGGTTTGGAATTCAGAGTTGTCTTTCTCTTAGATTGGTTGCCAGCCAAGGCTACTGTGACCATCTACCATGCTATCTAAGCCATAGTTGGAAGAAAAAAGAGGCAGATGCCTTTTCTATGCAATTCATATAGACATTTCATGCTTATGTGAAAATGAATTTGAGCTCCACTTGCTGATTCCATTTACCTTACTGATATTCTGTTACACTAAACACACATTGTCCATGGATAACATGAAATAAAATTTGGAGCCTGGTGTAACCTCATTACACAATGATGATGATAAGGGATAATATATTGGAGGAATGTGGGGCTCAAGGGAGACAATGAGGTGCATAATGTTTGCTGCACTTTTAATAGCCAACAGTGAGGAGTTGAGTACCACTCTGCACTCTTCACTAACATTTTATTTCTTGAGGCTCTTTCGTGTGTTCATAAGAAATAAAAGACAAGCGGACATGATAACATATATCATTGCTATTTGAGAAGAAAAAAGAAAACAAAGGAAAATGGTTACAAAATATGGAGCCAAAATGTCAAATACTCCACAGAAACTTGTTTAACTGATGAAAATTGACAAAATAAAGAAAATAACATTAAGAGACAAATTGATAGTCTATCACTTACAAAAGGGTGAAGATTGCAGCAAAGAATACAACAAATTGAGCAGCACTTATTTTGATAAACTGCATCACTTAAAATGATTACTTTACTCCACTACTTACATAAATGTAAAAACATCTTAGTTGGCAATAAGATAAGTGATAGATGACTAAAAAAAGGGTTACTTAGAATGATTACTCCACTACTTATATAAATGTAAAAGCATCCTTAGTTTGCAATAAGTAACAGATAACTATAAAAAGGGTTACTTAGAATGATTATGTCATTACTTATATAAATATAAAAACAGTCTTAGTTGTCAATAATATAAGTGACAGATGACTATAAAAAGAGGTCCTTAGTATGATTACTGGCCATGATCAAATGTTAGGGACTCCAAATCATCAACAGGAACACTAAAATATGCTAAACTCTCCTTGACACTCTCTCAAAAGCGTTTTTTTTTTTTTTGGCTTGTTCTGGGGTCTCTTTCCAGAAAGAAGCTCACCATAAAACAGCTGTTTTGAAAGTCTGGAGCCATAAAGCTGAACAAAATGACCAGCACAACAAATCTGGTTCCTAATTGTAGCAATGCTGTTTTGGCTTTGGTCAAGACACCAGTATCTGGAACATGACTGTCCCACTTCAGACCAAGAATATGTCTGAGACAGTGCTGGGGGAATCTTTCAAGTTGTTATATAAAACAACTTGAATGATTCCACTGATCCATTGATACAAGGTCCAGGTTTCAGAGGCATAGAGTAATGTTGACAACATACATGTTTGATACACAATCTTCTCAAGTTGAAAATTTTTGAAGTTGTTTGGAATTTGATACAGACACCTGTATCACAATCATGGAAGGCATACCAGAGTACAACCGTCAGGTAAAGTGAGAACAATGTTGGTGCAGGTATATCACCCTGCTTTACACCATTATCTATGGGAAGTTCCTCCGAGAGCTGACCATTGAAATTTATACAACCTTTCATACAGTGATGTAGTTGCTTGAACTTTTCAATAAAAGCAGGTGTACAGACAAATTTTCAGAGAGAGAGAGAGAGAGAGAGAGAGAGAGAGAGAGAGAGAGACTCACGATTCACTGTGTCTAAATCTTTAGGTCAACAAAAACCTGACAAAGTGGCACATGCTGTTCAATGCATTTTTCTACAAGCTGTTTAGCAGAGAATATCTTGTCTATAGCTCCTCTTCTGCCTCTAAAACCTGATTGGGACTATGGAAGGACATCAGGACAAATATACTTCTCTAATTGAGTGTTACAAACACTTTTCCAACTGCTTCTAGCAGTGAAATACCAAAGTAATTACCACAGTTTGATTTTTTCCCCTTTCCTTTCTACAGCATAATCAAAATGGAATCTATCCAGTCTTGAGCAACTGGGTCGCCCCTACATACAGATAACATTTAAGCGTGGACCGCACAATGGACATTCATACCACCATGTTTCAATAGCTCAACAGGAATACCATCTAGTCCATTTGAGTTGATCTGTTTTATGCAAACAGTTGTTTCTTCAAGAGTTGGTTCCATGTTAAGTTCAGACTGAAGAGCACGCTGAGGGAAACTATCTATTGCAGCAACAGCCACATTGGAAGGATTGTGAAAGAGATCTCGAAAATGGTCATACAAACGGCCCATAATTTCATTTGAAATTTTCAATAAGATGGTTCCATCCTTTGCCAGGGAGTGGTGTAGTTGAGGAAGATTTTGGACCATATTTGGACGAAGCAGATCATAAAACGCCTACAATACACACACACACACACACACACACACACACACACACGCACGTACGCACATTCTCTCACTACACATACTTTGGACCATTAGGTTTTCACATTCATTTGACACACACACACATCTTTGTCTTTGTCGCTTGTATACCTTTGTTGTTAATACCTTATCATTTGCTTGTACATATATATATTGGTTCTTGTTGACTTACATTTCTTTACATGAACTCACATCGCGAGTCTGCCATGTTTGTTGTGGGTATTTCAAGAGACACACGTATTTATCTCTCAATGCATACACCGGCCCGCAACACGTGCTTCGGCTAACAAAGCTATGATTAAATTATTTGATTTCTCGCTGCTGTTTTGGTCAAGATTTAGAGACATCAGTTTTAGCCCTGGTTTATCATAAAATTCTACGCATTTATTTTTAAGGGCATTTGTTGTGGCTTATGTGATCGGAAGCGAACTATTTTGTTGGTCAGTGTTTTGTTACTAGAAGTATGTAATCAGATTCAAAATAAGTATTATATACTCTAAGGTCTGTGGAGATAACCCCATGGTCTGCCAAGTTGCATGTTAGGTGACGCTATTTCAGTACTATAAAAGATTGGAATAACCTTCCTCTTCCTCTTTTCCCTATTTTCATTGTCGAATGAAATAGGTAGAAGACTTCTCCCTTCTTTCCATCTAGGGAATTTAGTCACCTGGCCACGCGGCGCATCTACCGCATGCACACACGGGCACACCCACACATTTCCTAAGAGCTAAGTTTTGATGTTTTTTTGTTCTTCTCATCTGTGTACACACTAGTATATTTTCTTTCCTTTGTTAATTATTTATTAACTATATAAAAATACATTAAAATATCCCCGTGTTGAAATGTATTTCCTTTACCTTTCAAAATGATGACAATTTGTTATTTACATGTGAGAACTTTGGTTGTCATTGCTTTTAAATTGATCCGCAACACATCTGCCACAAACTCTCTAAGCCAAGAGTCTGAGATATTGTATACACAAGAGATAAACTGATCCGATGATATATTTGGAATAATAACCAGAAGAGCTGATACACACACAGTAAATACCCGGAATCGTTGATGGACAAAAGAATATGTCGAGTCAGTTGACATGCGCAGAAAGTAACTTGAACAGTCAATGTTCGAAGTAAGGTAAGCTGAAACAGTTGACATGCACAGAAAGTACTAATATACACGGAAGAATGCTGGTAGACGTCGGAGATGACATGCTGTGCACAGAAAAGTCTGATGTGTTCAGGAAAGAATGGTGTACGCCAATGAGGATTTTGGGGCGTAGAAATGATCTACGTCAAGGACGATTGCTTTGCGTATAGGATGCCAATGAATTCAGAAGAAGATTGGTATGCGACAGGAATTACTGGTATGCATAGAAAATGCCGGAACGCAAAATGTAGCGGGGCCGCTGACGAACTCAGGAAATACCGGATCAAGTGGTCGTTCACTGAGGATGCTAGAACCGTTAACAAGTACTAAAGAATACTGGAACGAGTGGTCGTGCACTGACTCGTGCAGTTAGGGGGGTAGAACCTAAATTTTCCCTTAAAAGGACAAGTGGTAATCGCATAACATGTAATTCCTGAAAAGGAATCTCACCATAAGCGAAGACTGTCATTACTGTAACTTCTTGGACGACATTGTTATACTCCGTTGCAATTAGATCTCTTTCTAATTCATTCTGCATGCCGGCCGGATGTGAACGCCATGAAGGCAGAGAACAACATTCAAAAAGTCATTCTCTGTGCATAGGCTCCGAGCATCACATCCGACCTACGAAGCAAGCTCCGGCAATGTAAGCGACACTGGGCAATCACGAATGTTTCCGCCGGACTACTAGATCTGCATAAAAGCAGGTTTCCGGCAACGACCAGACAAATGCTTTCAACGACTGTTACCACTCCCAGCCTTGACTAACCAACTCGGCTGCCTAGCTTCAAGATGATAACATTTCCACTTCGACTCCACGGAACTACAAGCCTTCTTCTTCGCCAACGCCCGTCACCTCCGCAAACGCGAATGAATACAGCGGACGATATCCAGCTTTGACTCCATCCAGCTACAAGTCTTCCTCGACGCCAATGCCATCACATCAGCACACTAGACCCACTGCAGCGGTCAACTATAAAACTTCGACACCACCTCGTCAAACTACCGTCGTCATACCCAACTGCTACAGGTATTCCATTGCAGTCGTTACTGTGGCCCCTCCGACACCACCTTGTCACCTCGGCAACTCACCGCCGTTACCTCGGGATACTCAGCAAGCTACATGCATTCTCTTTGCAGTCGTCACCGCGGCCTGGTTCCATAGACCAAACCTACCAACTACGCCAATCCGATACGACCTCGTCAACACACCACCCTCACCTCGGTAAGCTCAATTCACTACAGGCATTCCATTTGCCGACTTCACCTCGACCCCTTTCCATAGAACAGGCGTACCAACCATGCCAATCCGACACCACCTCATCAACCCACCGCCGTCACCTTGTCAAACCCGATTCACCACAGGCATTTCCTCTACAGACGTCACCTCGACCCCTTTCCATAGATCAGGCCTAACAACCGCGCCAATCCGAAACCAACTCGTCAACCCACCACTGTCACTTCTGTAAACGCGACTCACTATATGCATTCCCTCTGCAGACGTCACCGTGGCTTCCGTTTCATAGAACAGGCCTACCAACTACGTCAATCCCTTTGCAGTCGCCACCTCGACCCCATTCCATAGACCAAACCTACTAACCACACTAATCAACCCACTACAGTGATCTCGATCAAGGAACACCTGCACCGACCAGATCCTGTGAGCTTGGTCAAACCTACACAAGAAATAGGTCAACTCCCGGCACTCTCCTTACACGAGATCATCATACTGACAATCAGGAACAAGAAACTGACATCTTAATAATTTTCAGCAACTCTGTAAGACACCCCATATATTAAACAAAGACATGTTCTTCGAAAACCTAATCCTCGTTATTCCTTTCTTCTCGCAACCAAATATAGCCACAGGGGCAAACTAGTCGTGGGAATTAACAACAACGGAAAACAAAGGAGATTACTGGCTGAAAAAGACTAAATAGCTTTTCAAGAAGCCTTTGGTATTATAGGAGTTGGCATCAAAAAATTGCTGAACATCCAAGGAAAAAAAGGAAACAGAGATCAACAAAATGTATGTTAGGCCACAAAGTCAACTCTTAAAGCCTAAATTGAACACGTCTAAAACAAAACAGGAAGAGAACAAATGTCACATATGTGGAATTTCATGCAACCTAAGTAAGTATCGTTTTGTCACATGTTATTATTTTGAATGCCGGTGACATATATCTGAAAAATGTTTTTAGTTAAAATCCAAGAAAAATACCACAGAAGAGAACAAAAGAAAAAAAGTTCCTGTTTGTCAAGTAGAATTAATGATTCTGATATTTCAGAAGTAGAAGGTTTCTACATTGTATACAAAATTAGTACTGTTGGAAAGGTCATCCTTATTACTTGGACGTGAAATAAAAAATGCGGATATATCCATGGAAATAGATAGATGAGCGTCAATTTCAGTTATGGGTTTGCAAACATGGAAATAGATTAAGAAAAATGTCTTTGAAAGCTACTAAGATAAGGCTAAAATCATACACAGGGAATGATATTCTAGTCAAATGACAAATGCTAATTCAGTTGGGGGATTGTCAAATGGAGTTACCTCTCATTATATTAGATGGGAACTCACCAACTGTTCTTGGATGAAATTGGTTAAAACAACTAAATTTGCCATGGCAAAACATTTTTAGAGTACATTTCGTCCAGGAAACAGAGACAACGGATTTCGAACAGTTGCTATCTAAATATCAGATTGTTTTTGACAAGAGATTAGGCCAAGCTCTTGGAACTCCTGCTAGGCTGTATGTAAACCCAGAGGCTAAACCTATGTATTAAAATCTTCAGCCAGTACCATATATTGCTAAAAAAGAAAATCAAAGAACTTGAAAGGCTAAAGGAAAAAAAGACAATTTCACAAGTAGAATTTTTAGAATGGGTTACACCCGTTGTAACCATCCTGAAGCCTGTAGTATATAATCAAAGTTTCTAGACCAAAAAAGGCAGTAAGCAGATACAGACTGCAATAGTTCACGACACCGGGCTTAAAAGAAATTCCGTTACTCATTCACCAGTCTTCATCACCAAGCTACGTGACACTTACACTTTCTTCCTCACTTTCTTCCTAGCTTCTTCTTTCTTACACATATACACGAAGACATCATATTTCTTTTCATCTTTACGAACAAATACAAAGAAAGACTGTAATAACTTTAACACTCACACACTCTAAGAAGAATTTAGTTGTAAAAACACGAAAATAAAAATATATTATTTAAACATTCCTTTCGCCTTTTTCTTTGTTGTGAGTTGATTCAAATCAGCTAGACATGCTATCAAAAAGGCGCCAATATTAAAGAATTACAAGCCTTTTTTTAGGAATGTTTAATTATTATGCATGATAAATTCCCGACATTTCCAATATTTTAACACCTCTGCATCAACTACTTGGAAAAGAAACAAAATGTAAGTGGACTTCACAACAGGAACGAGCTTGGAAAGAAGCAAAAAAGTCCTTGAATTCCGGTAAATTCTTAGTCCATTTTGATCCAAACAAGGAAGTTACTGTCGCTTGTGTCCCTATGGACTGGGGGGTAGTGTTACCCTTTTTCATGGAAGATGGATTGGAGAGACCCATTGCTTTTGTGTCAAGGACACTTACTCCAGCTGAAAAAAAATATAGATCCAAATCGACAAGAGGCAGCAGCTTTGGGTTTAGGTGTTAAAAAATTTAATCATTATGTATATGATCAGCCGTTTAAATCATATACCGATCATAAATATACAAGAATGGCTGAAATCAGTTCTGCAACGATTCAGTGATGGGCCGTAATCTTAGCAATGTACAGCTGCTAGCTATGTGTATCGTGAACGTATACATAATGGGAATGCCAATGACTTAAGTCGCTTGTCTTTGCCAACTAACATCAAGGAAGTTCCAATGCCAGAGAAATACACCATATTTTTGGAATACCTGGATCAAGCCCCAACCACTTATCAAGAATTTGTAAGTTGGACAAGGAATAATAGGGTGGCAGGTACACTTTTACATCCAACATGACAAATTTCCCCAGTTAGAGGAATGACGTCCCTATATTACAAGGAGGCATGAACTTGGAGTCGTGGAAAATCGAATTTTGTGGGAGAAAAGGATTATTGTACACTTGCAAAAACATAACTCATCGAAACACTACATGGACGACACACAGGAATGGTTAGAATGAAGTACTTAAGCAGAAATTATTTTTGATGGTCAAATTTGGACAAGAATATCGAATTCAAAGTGAGGAACTGTTGTGAATGTAAAATATACAGTTCTATGATTACAATAACTCGTTTACATCATTGGAAAACTCGAGAGAAATAATGGTCTACACCCTGTCTGTGGTTATTAAGCAAAACATATAAAGTTCAATAATTCAAATTTGGTTTGAAAAAAAATTGTTAAATTTTAAACAATCAATTTAGATGTCAAAACAAAGCCCTAGTTAAAATTTTAGGTAGTATCAATATGTTTTATTGAAGTTATTTGATGTAGCTTAAAAAACTGCCGTCTGAAGTTATTTGGCAAAACCAAATAATCACATTTTACTTCAATAAAAAGATAATAAAAATCATCAAAAATTGATCAATATCTATAATAGAAAAAATAACAATCACATGATAAGTCTTTGAATCTTTTACATTTTAATATAGGGACCCTTCTTCTCAATAACAGCCAGTAATCTATTGATTGTTATTTTTTTTACTTCTGCAGGTTCAATTTCCGACATGATAGTTTAAATTGCTTCTCATAGGTCTGCTTTGTGGTTATATTGTTTGCTAACTTCATATAATTTCATCTTCACAATTGCCCATAGATTTCGATCGGATTCAGATCAGGACTTGATGGTGGTCATTCCTTTATCTTATCTCCTGTAAATCTTTTATGATCAAATAATCCACGGGTAAGCTTAGATACAGGAGAAGGAGCATTGTTATGCATAAATACACACTTCACTTTGAAACTACGAGACTGGGACTTGTACCATGCAAAGAAAGTCTTGTTCATAAAATCGAAACATGTGGGATTCCAGATTCAGTGGGTGTCAGACAATGCTGCTTATTATATTAGTGAAGAGTTTCATGGTTTTATATTAAGAAATGGTATAAAACATGTTACAAAATCTTTTAAATATCCACATCATCTAATGGATTAGCTGAAAGATGTGCGCATCTTCAATGAAGGAAGAAAGAAAGAAAATGGGCCAAGAACGACGACCGTTAAGTTTGTTGCAGAATTTATGCTAAATAAGATGTGTCAGAAGGTGAAATTGTGTAAAAGCCTAAAATGTGCGTGTGCATTATGCATTTATCCACAACAAATAAATTAAACGAACATATGAAGACAATACAACTTGAAGAAATCAAGGAAAAACAACGTAGTTAGAGATTTCAACAATAACATGAATTTATATATATATATTTGACATACACAAAGTGCTGATAGGTTGCTTGTTAAATGTGGCAAATGAGATAAGACTGCAAAGAGTGTCCATGCAGAGATTTGGTGAATGAATGTTGATGGTTTAAGTTTGTTTGTGAAATTAAACAGTTTGATTTCTGAAAGGTAAAATGTCAATCCTGTGAGTTCAAATAATAGTGTGCATGTGTGTGACAATTGTAAGTGTTGATTCAAGTTAGGAAGAGTTGTGTGCCTTTGACTGATATGCTAAAATTGATTAAATGTACAATTACTATTTCGTAGTGATAATGTCACATTTTTAGTAAATTGTAAGTTAAGTTTCTTCACGCGGCAATAGTAGTGCGAGTTGTGTTGAGTTAATGAGAGGCTGGTAGTGTTATTTTTGGCACGTGTGGAGTCTGCTGTCATCTCTCGAAACTCAGTGACTGACTGACTTGAATCAAGTCGAGCGATTCTTTTTATAGAATTTTGGGTTTTCAAATAGGCCCCAGACAGCTGCACGGGAAAAAAAGGATTTGTCTCAACTTGCTACATTTTTATGTCCTTTTAACCAATGGGAAGTTGAGTTTTGGAAAAGTGAAGTGATGATTGGTTAAAGGTTAATTTGAGGAAGAGTGCATCTTCCCGTAGGGGGTGAGAGGCAAGTATGGAGGATTCCATAAGTTTAAAATTTAGTCGATTGTTTCTGTTCTAAAATTCGACTCCACAAACGGTTACAGGCATTTCATTTGCTGAATTTACTGATGAACAGGAAAATAAAAACTATTTTGGACTTTGTGATTCCACATAAAACCTCGTTTAATGAACGCATGAAGCGACTGTAAAGAACTGTAGGGTTAGTAGTAAGATATCACATCGGGCCACTTGAAAAAATGAATAACATCTGTTCCAACCAATCCAAAAGCATTTGAAACTTGGAACATAGAAAAGAAGTGGTACATCACACTTAACAAAAGTCATGATCAAGATCTGGTTGTTCCACAGGCCCATCAAAATAACTCCGACAAGGAAGATACGAAATTTAGTCAGAGTACCACTACTGAGATCCTAGTTACAGGTGGAATTAAATTAAGTCAATAAGTGTGACAACCTCTAAGCTATCTCAAAGACTATATTACTAATTACTTGAACCCTATATGTGATGACCAATGTCAAGCATGCTTGACATTGGAGGAGTGTAATGTATTACTACCAAAAAATAGGCTTATAGAGTTATTGCCCCTGATCTATTTCCCAGAATCTTTTTAGTTCCAGTGTCCACGTTTTTTTAAAAAATATACATCATTTTGCGTGTAAGGCACATTTTACAATAGGTTTAAGTCTAAAATAAAAAAGAATTATGAATTTAGCATTGAAATGTATTAAAATTTTATGTACTAATTTAAGGGAAATAACTTAAATTATTTTGGGTTTAGACTTTAGATTTATGAGTTGTTTCCCTTTAGAATTAAATTACCGATTTAAAATATTCAGTGAATTTATCGATCTTCTCTACTTTTATTAAATAAGAAATACTGTTAAATTTAAAGAGGGGACTCTCAAATATTTTATTACGAATTCCACTTACAAAACTGTCTTTTGAGATGTCTAATCTTATTCATGACTTCAAATTAAAATCAATATTTTTTCTTTTTTATAAATTTTAATTTTAACGATCAACTAACTCCCTGTGTGTAGGAAACACGGCACGTTTTACATAATAATAATAATTCTATTCTTCATAGCACTTACTTTTATATAGGAAATAATTTTATTCGGTTTTCTTCTCAACGACATAAGCGACCACTGTGTTCACTGGCTTTTCGCTTTCCCTTTCTTTCACCCTTCCCTATTGATGTCGTCTATTAGAAATTCATGCCCCTTTCTTTTATTTTTAATCACATGTCTCCCGCAATAAGACATGTATATTTTCACTTTTCAGTTATTGCGGTATTAACATTTTTTCGTATTTCATAATTACCCTATATTTTTCTCATTTTTACCAATCTGTTTTTTGTGTTTCTTTTTTTTTATTTACTTCTCCAGTATCCCGCTTTTGTTAATTTAAGTTCCTTTTTTCTGTTTTCATATTTCTGCCCGTTCCATATTAATTGTATATTTTTTTACATATTTCCACATTTTCGTTTATAATCTAATTTTTACCTTTCTATTCTACTCATTTTTTTAAAATACCTCTCTTTAATTTTCTCATCTTTACAGTGCACGCATTTCTCTAAAATTCCCGCTCTGTATATTCTGACTCGCCATTTTTGCCCGCATTTACCCTCTCTCTATTTGTTGTTAGTTCCGATACTTTCCCGCATTTCTCTTTTTTTTCTCTCTCTATTTGAATCTATTATTTCTCTTAAGTCTCTCATGTGAGTCCTTGTCATTTTTAAGTTTCTCCGCGTCTCTGTTTACATTGTTCTCCCACCTCCATTTTACCACTTGATCCTCTCCTCTTCTCACGCCTTCCCCACTCTTTCTTCTTCTTTGTATTATTCTTCACCCCTCCATCATTCTCTTTAATATTTCTTTCTCCTACCTTCCTTCCTTCCTTTCTCTACTCTCTCTCCAGTTTACAACAGGGAAGTAGTGCAGACGTCTGCCAGGATGTTATGGCCATGAATTTAAGAAATCTATTCCAGGACTTTAATCCTAGGTTGGTACTTCTTTCTAGAAATATTCCTTCTTTATTCATCCCCAGAATATACAAATCCTTCATTCTTACCATGGAGAATGATTACTTTATTGAAATATTCATTGATTTACAATTCTCTTCCTCGCTTATTTCGTATTGTGTTGAATACTTTTTCACAATCATTCCTTATTTCTACCCCGGAAAGAAAATATTGTGTTTGGAAATATAAATGTAGTTTATTAAAGTGAATATAATAAAAAATTACAGTTTAAATATATAAATAAAATCTCGTATTTTGCTTAAACGATTTTATTAAAAATTATTAAATGACGTTACTGACATTTTCTGCTATGGATGGTCAGCTGTGCTATTTTAATATTTATTTTAATTTTGAAATTTTTTAAATATCAGTTAAAAACTTATTCGTCAAAATGCTTTTTAACGATAAAGTACTTGGTCTTCTTAGAATTGTACGAATAATTTCTTACGTCTATAATTTGTAGATATAAGATTTTTTAATTTTGAGTATAAAAAACAAATGTTCTCTGTCTCAAATGATGTTTTCTATTTGAATCAAACTTGAATGTAGAAAATCGTTTTTCTGCCTACTGGAATTTCTTAATTTATTTAAATTTACTTGTAAGAACTTGATATATTTAGTAAGAAATCTAATGGTCGTAAAATTTATTTCACTGACAAGTGTTGACAAATATTGACGGTTTCGATTTACAGCCCTTTTGACCGCTCGTACTTAGCGCTTTTATTAAAGGTCGATATCGTTAGATGAGCAATGTAAATAAATCATTTACTACTTTAACTTATAATTCTAAGAAGTTGTTGTTCCTAAAAATATATTTTTTAGATTGTATACTTTTGCTTGCTGTATTTTAATTCATTTGCTATCGATACTAAGAATCGCAATTGAAGGATTTTTAAAATGAAAAAGTAATTTCCATTTATTTTAGTTTCGATTTGTTTGCTGAATTAATTTTTGTTCAACTTTGAAATAATTAAAAAAAATTAACCGTTTTATTTGGATTAAATTTCTATTTTCGATATCAATAGTTTTGATCTTTTTTGTATAATAAATTATGAAACTATTTTAGTTAAAATTTAGTTTTATTTCTTATTTTAATTGTGCATTTTTGCTTTTTTTTTTTTTTTTTTTGCATAAAAATGAATTATTTGTTGTTTTGCTGCTAAAATGGTTTAAAATTTGATTCTTCCTTCTTACTGAAGTTTAGTTTTGAATATATTTTCTTGTCCAAAACGGAAAAAAAAAAAAAAAAATTATTTTTATTTATTCTTTATTTTTTTTATTTTCACGAATTATGACCAAAATGTCCAAAAATAACAATTTTATTGGAGAGGAGGAGCTGAAAAAAAAAAAAGTTGAAGTAAAAAAGCACATCAAGTGGAATCGAAGTTTTAACAATCAGATTTCAAGCCCACCTGTTGACATTTAACCTGTTGTCGGCTATTTCGATCATTAAGAGTGACCTTTCCTGCAAAGATAATTTTTAAACCATTACTGATTCTGTCTTGTTTTGAACAGGTTACAGTTAAATAATTGCTTTTGCTCTACATACAGACGAATTATTGTTACAACTTTTAACGCAATGTTCAGTTATTATTTGATAAATGCTGTTAAAAATATTAGTCCAAAGAAAGTAAAAATTTTGCTTAATCAGCAGAAAACCATGGACGAAGCAAGTGAACAACGATGAAGAAAATGGGTAAAAAAGACACTTGTACTTAGACTCAGAAAGAGATTTCAGTTGAAATTTTAGGGTCACTTAATGACGAAAGAGGGCTTGGAGAATTTGATACTTACAGTTCTGCTTTCATCTCTAATGTGGATCCCCACAAAACTTGCAGGCTTAATGTTATCCCTGTAAATAGTCATTAAGAAATGTGCCATTAACCAGGCTCCTGTTCTCTCTAAACTGTATAATAAATGCCTCTTGTTTTCCTGCCTGTTGGAAATCCACATTTGTTGTTCTGGTTTTTAAGGACTCAGCGGAACTGTCCAACCCTTCCAATTATCAACCTGTTAGCCTTCTACTTCTTTTTAGGAAACTACTAGTGGCCCTGAATGCATCATATAGCATTCTTTCAGACAAGCAATATGACTTTTGCTTCTCTAGGTCAACTGCTGATGTACTGATGATAATTATGCAAAGAGTTTATCAAGCTCTAGATAAGAATGATGGAGCTCGGGTTGTTGCTTTGGACAACTTGAGAGCTTTCAACATGATTTGGCATGCATGTCTTCTCCACAAGCTGAAAAGTTACTGTGTCTCTGACCAAATTTTTGAACTGTACCAGTCTTTCTTAAAAAATCTTGAATGACTATTCTTCTAGATCCTATTGTACTAATGTAGGTGTCCCTCAGGACTCCATCCTTAGTCCTACTTTGTTTTTAGTTTTCATTAAGGACTTTCCTGTTGGTATCAGCTCTCAACTTTGTATCTATCCTGATGACACAATCATTTGTTCTTCTTTTGATAGTAAATCTGATCATTTTCATGGCGTCAAATTGGTAGCTGATGTCATAAAAGACATTCAGTCTGTTGTTAACTGAAGCAAAGAATGGCTTATTAATTTTAATGCCTCCAAAACAAAATTGCTTTCTATTAATCATCTGAAAGACATTTCTGTCTTCCCTCAGCATGGCTGATGATAACCTCCATTGTGCCTTCTCAGGCTGATGTTCTTGGCTGACATGAAGTGGAAAGACTATATTGAATCCATTGCTAGGTCAGCTGATAAGAAAGTTGATTCATTGTCATGCTAGACAATTCTTCTCCAAAGAATCTATCTTGCATATCTATAAGTCTACCATTCATCCATGCTTAGAATATTGTTGCCACATATGGGCTGGTGCTCCTGCTTTATATCTAGAGATCCTACATAAAATCCAAAGAAGAATCTGCAATATTATTGGTCCTGATCTGGCGTCTTGGCTTTAGCCACTTTCCCACTACTGTAAAATTGCCTCTTGTAACTTTTCTAGAAATATTTTCATGGTAATTGTTCAGATGAGATCTTCACCATGGTACAAAGACTTTATGAATTAGTACTAGACTGTTAACAATTATACAATTAGTACTAGACTGTTAACAATTATACAATTAGTACTAGACTGTTAACAATTATACAATTGAGTTGGCTAGATGTAACTGTAAATGTTATGCTAACAGTTTCTTTTCTTGCACTTCTCGCTTGTGGAACTATCTTCTGGCTCCATGATTTACAACCAACTTTAATCTTCAAAAATTTAAATGGAATGTCAATTGCTCTTTGCTGTCTTTGTGATTACTATTCCTTCATTCTTGCTCCTTTGTAATGTTTCTGTTTTTTTTAATTCTTCCACACCCAGTAACCCCTTGTGTCTTAGTGGCTTTACTGCCTTGCTTGAGGTGAACTTGCTTAAAAAAAAAACGAACAAAAACATTGAAGGCAAGAAGAACAGAGAGGAAACACCTAAGGAGCTTGTGTAAATGGATGGCAGAACAAGGGCTGGGAGGGATGGTAAAGTAACAAATGTTACTAAGAGCTACAAGGATGGAATGTTGTGGAGAGCCATGATTGTCCATTTCAGTTTCAGTTACTTTCCCACCACCATAATGTACCTTCCCAGCACCTTTTCTATAAATACTTTCATGGTAATTGTTCTGATAAACTTTCCTCTGTGGTAGGCTTTATGAATTTAAGTGCAGTACTAGATTGATAACATGGTCTTACCAATTTTCAGTTGAATTGGCTAGTAGATATAACCATAAGATCTATACTAACAGTTTCTTTTCTTGCACTTTTCACTTGTGGAACTCTCTTCTGGTTTCATGCTTTCCTATCAACTTTGATCTTGAAAAATTCAAATTGTTAGCTTTTGTCTTAATTCCTTTTCTTTTATTGTTCTCGCTCATTAATATTTTCCTTTTTGCAATGGAATGTGGAGATGGTGAATTGACGAGCTTCAGGCTGAAGGTGAATCAGGCAGCACTCCATGTAGACAGAAGTGGTGGTGTTGCTTGTAACCATTTTTATTGGCTGGTTCTGGGCACTCAATAACATACATAAAAGAACGTTGCACTCATTCAAAAAGGAGTCTTGTTTTTGGCAAGAGGATTTGTTTATGTGAGATTGAGGAATGGAAATAGTCAGCATTTGTGGAATTGATTTGCCTATTGGAATGTGTACTACTTTTTTGCCCCTTTGGACTTGTATAGAGTTTTTGTGTGCTTTCAGCCAATTCTCACACACGTTTGCATGTGTTGGATCATATATGCCAACAGTGGAAAACAAATTTCTAGTTTCATCTCTTCCAAATATTGTCAATGTTGAAACTTTTTGAAAAAGTTTGATTTTCGTGTGAGAGGAGACAGAAGTACTTTCAAGAATTGAAAAAAAAAATTCTTTAAAAATCAAAAATTTAAAACCCTTATTGTCTACCTTTTCTATTTGTTCAATCAATACTCCCCCCCCTTTTTTTTAAGATTATATTTTGCTTTGTATTTGTGAGTAAGTGTATGGTTGTAGCCGGCTGCTGGGTTGATAACATTCATTACTACATATTCATCCTGGCAGAAAAAAAACACTAAGACAAAATTCGTTTTCCTTTATCAATTTATTTTTGTTTTCAATACATGAAGTACCTATAAGATATAAATGAAACTTTTTAACTTTTCAATGTAGAAACCCTTAAATTCCTTTTCTTTTATTCTTTGCATTCTTCATTTCTTTGTACAGCCAGTTCCTGGTATTCTCAAGTCTATTAATATTTTCCACATTATTTGCCCTGCGACTTGATGGAACCATCCAATGGAGTTATTGGGTTGTCTTTCTTCCGATATGGTTATGGAAGGTGATGGTAGTGGCTGGGGCATCTGTTGGCAGTTATATTTGGTGGCGTAATCCACAGTATAGGTGAGTTTTATCAAAATGGCTTTGATCTTCTAAAGTAATTATTCTGATGTTGAAGATGCATTTTTGGTTAGATTTTGGTGAACTTTATATTGACTGTCTGGCATCTGTTTTAAATCTCGGGTTTTTTTTTTTTTTTTTTTATTAATTGGAAACATATTTTTGTTCTGTGATAGTAAAAAAAATAAATGTAAAATTGTTGTGCTTAAGAATCTCCCTTCCTCTCTGTTATGATTAAATAACATCAAACAACGTTTGTGTTCTATTATGGGAAACAATATTATTTATCCTAATTTCCAAATTATGAATTATAAAAATGATCATTTTGATGCTTTTTTTTATTTTTACAAACTTAATTTTTTTTTTACAGGTCTTTAATCATTTCACTGAAAATCTCACATTTGTACTTTTGATTTCTAACATGAATAATAATATTCATCTAAACAGTTTAAACATTTTTTTCATTTTAAAATCGATTTCTTTTTTTTAAATAAGCCTACTTTTTTTTCTATTTGCTGTATATAAATAATTTTAGCAAAGTATTTTTTCCTTAGATCTTTATATTGAATTATAACCAGTTTTGACTTCAGATATATAGGATAGTTATGCGTGTTAGCTAATATTTCTTCTAATTTCTCCCAAGGTTGCAAATGATCAGTGAATTGTATGAACCTATAAAAAATAGAAGAATTGGTTTTTATTATTGAAAGGTTGGATAATTGAAAGTTAAATGATTGTGGTGAACAGTCCCATAGAAGCATGCTAGTCAGAGTGGCTTGCATCTGGTACATAGGAAAATAAGGGTCTTACCTCAACGTGCAGCATGTGGCATTGGCAAATTTAATCTGTGAAAATGGCATTACTCTCCCATCTAGCCATTCCAGCACTATGTGCAGTAACAAGAGTTTTTGTACAGTTTGGCATGTTTCGACCAATATCAAGTCGTGTGCTGATTGGTTGAACTGGAGGAGGCTACTTACCTGGGTAACTGAGAATAAAAGCAAAGAACACTGATTGGTTGGTTGACTGCAGTGTTGGCCTGATAAAAGAGGGCTAAAGCAGTGAGAAGGGAAGACTGATTTTACGTTTTGAAGTGTTTGGAAAACAAGAATGGCGGATTGAACCAGCGGTATCTTGAATTGTATGAGCAACGTCTTAGCAATAGAGACTCATTTAAGCTACAATGACATCAATTTGTACCTTGGATCTCACTGCAAGGAATTATTTCAGAAATAGACTGAGTGATTTGGGGGGACATTTTCTTCATTTCTATTGCTTTAGATTTTTAGATATATTTTGGATATTGAAGATTTACTATCACGATAAAGCTGAAAGATGAAATGGTTATTAGATATGGGTTTTCCTTTGGACTAGCAGAACAGATCTGCATATGGCAACATGAGGAAGCTAGTTAAGAGTAAAGAAATAAAATAACAAGGACAGGAAATTAGAGTAAACAAAACCAGATTGAAACACTAAATATTAGAAATCAATTATTAATTTTTAATTATTAATTTCTGATATTATCTCTGATGTTACATTATTTTTGTCTTTGGTATTAATATATTGCATTGAAAACATTTTCAATAAACCCTTTTTATTATGTTTCAGAATTGAAGGTGATGGCTATGTCCAATACAAAGCAATGGTAATTTGTACTGGGATGCATTTACTCTTGCTCATGTTTGAAATTCTTGCCTGTGACAATTTAGAAAGTCGGAATCATTCTTGGATATTGGTTTTTATTCCACTTATGTTCATGTCTGTTGTATCAATTGGCATCTGCATTTGGGCTGTGAAAAATGAAAGGTCTTTTGAGGTAAGTGCACTTGTGACTGTCATTAACTGCTATCTTTCATCTATGGCCTTTTCTTGTTCTTTTTCTTCAAGAACATTGTCTAATTACATTTGGAAATTGCACTTTAATTTCCATCATTTAGCTTTTTTTATTTTAGTTTTATTTGCCAAGTAATGTAATTTCTTCAAATAATAGGATTTTCAATGCTTTATGAGTCTTTCTAAAATAGTTTATTTTTTAGAGAAATATAATTGTAGAATTTATAATGTAAATCTGTGTTGATATTATCTCATTTATATGTACTAACAGAAAATAGCTGCTCTTTCAGCATCATTTTTGCTGTCCCATTGGTTAGTGTAATGGCCTTGGGAATTTGAAATTTTCTCACCAAATGGATAAAAATGCAAAATTCTAAAATCTACAGAATTTTTTCTTTTCAGCCCAAATATTTTCTATTCAGTTAATGGATATCTTCATAAAAAGTTAATTTTTATTCATACAGCTAAAAGCAAGTTGTTTAAAAGTTGTAAGTGGACATTTTATAATTGTTTTTTTCCAATTGCAGAAATGAACTTAGAGTATAAAAAAACCTAAAATGATAAATTCAGTGTGTGTAAATTTGACCAGACCTTCATTACTGATAGCAAGTGGCAATTTGTAATTTGTCTTATGATTTTTCTACTGACTGTTCATTGTTTCATTTTTGCTTTCAAACAAATATTTATAAAAATGTACATGTCCTCCAAGAAGGCATACATTTATTTGTAATTTTTTTCATTGGATCTCTGCTGTTATCTTCCTTATGATATACTATTCTTGTTTTTTACATTCTTTCTTTCCTAGATGATTAAAACTGTTCCATTTTGTTCTTTCTTTCTTAAAATAGAACCTTTTACTTTATTGTCTTTGATTTCTTTATTCTCTTCATGCAGTTTGTAATGGTGACAATTGAAGTCTTTTCTCTTTTATTGTTGGTAAATAGAAACTGAATAATTCAGAAACAAATCCTTTTTTTCTAACTTAGTTTATGTAACTGTGAACCATTGAATATATTTTCGGTATACTACAAGGTAGGCACTGATCCAGGAGTGAGGTGGTGTCCACCTGGTCTGGATCCTCCTTATCCAACTGTTTCAACAATGCACAATCAAAAGAGATTTTTAAATATTGATATAAAGAAATGGTATAAGTAAAAAAAAACAAAACAAACAAATTGATGTAATGGAATAACCTGTCACCCCCATGAGTGACTACACTATAGGTAGTAACTACCTATAAGTATCTGTAAGCCAATGGACTACAAAGACTAGCTGGGATCTGTTGAGTATGACTCAGACTTACGCGAGAACTACCAACCTTCCAATAGTAGCACTCACTACTGGATTGACTTGCGATGACCTTGTTCATAACTGTTACCTTTATTCTTATTGTACTGGTTTTTTACAATAAACCTTTACTTCTTTTATCCACCTTGTTTTTCAAGTATATATTCCTATTAGCACGGAATATAAAACAAATATATTAAATAATCACAAGTAATCAGAAATTAACCTTAAAAATATTTTTTTCTATTTTGTTTTTAGAAAGATGTCTTGTTCTTTGTAGATTTTATTAGTTTTGTGAAAATTTTCTTTTGTTAAATGTTGTGCTAAAAACTATGCCTGAAATGCAAAGTGTGGCAGAAATATCTCCCGCATTAATAGTAAGACATTAGTAGCAATGGTGTCTTCATCTAGCTAATGTCTTACCATTATGTGAGAGGCTATTGCTACCATGCCCTGTACTTGTATACTTCCTGCCAAGACATTGATCACCTATTGTATCACCCATAAATTTTTCTATTTGAATTCCATATCAAAAATCCTGGATTCACTCCTGCATGAATTACTTTGTATTTATAGCATAGGACTTTAGTTCTCCATCTGTTAAATTTATTTAATAATAAATCTTATTTAAGACACCAAAAGAAATTCATCTTTCAAATTAGAATAAAGTTAGTTGAGAATTGTAATAATTGTTAAATCCATAATATTCATAATTCAATAAAATATTTAGACTTTTTGCATCAGCTGACACACATAGACTATTAACTCTTCACTATAATTGATAGTCTTTTTAAGATCAAGAATCTAACTTAAACCACAAATTACAGACTTACCATGTGTGATATTAATTATTATTCAATTTCTTGTTTATTTTGTGTGTGTCAAATTTAATTTGACCATTTTGTGATTGTAAAAATTGTAGAAGCTATTGGTTTACAATATTGACATAAAGCATTATTGCAAATAATTATGCAGGAAGTTTCATGACTACTGCTTGTTGAGGAGGAGGAGGAGGTAGATTGTTTGAGTTGTTCAGCTTGTTACCTTATGACCGAATTATTAGCATTGATATTTAATCAGTTATAATGGCTTTGTCTTTTTGTTAATTCTTTTATAACACTGCACTCCACAAATCAAAAGCCAAACCTGATGAAGACAGAGAAACGCCTCTGAAATAATTATTTTGAATATGAATTTCAGTTATAAAGAATTACGTGGTCTACCTTAGGGGAGTTTGTAGAAACATTGAAAATAAATGCACTGCATCATTAATATAACAAAAAATAAAAAAAAAATATTTTGTTATAATTGCACTTGTATACAATTTTCTTTAGTTAATAATAGATCAATTTATTTTGCTATTAAATGTTTATAACTTGATATTTCAACAATTTTATAATCTAGCTTGAAAAATATTTTAGTTATTTTAAATATTTAAAAGATTGGATATTTGTTATAAATGGTTAGAAGCAGATTTTATCTGATTTGCCATTTATTTAAAATGTATTTTTTCCTGAATGCTAATTTCAATTCTATTCTATGGCAATATTGTAGAAAACCTTGCTTTATTTAGATTCTTAATGAATTTGAAACTCTTGAGGCTTGCTTTTTCAATTTTAATTAATGTTTAGTAAAATAACTATTCTTAAATTATATAAAAATAAAGAGATCAATAAATGTAATTGATTTTTTTGACCTAAACTATAAATGTAAGACACATCAAATATTATTTTGCTTTGTGTATCTTGACTATAATAATAAAATAGTAAATGTACTACTATAATATTTAAACTATGATCAACCCTATATAGTTTGTATAGATGGGTGTGTATGTGTGTCTTTGAATTTTACTTCAGCAATAAAGCTTCAAATCTGAGAATTTTATCAGAGGCATAACTCAAATCCTTGTTAGCCTTAATACCATAAGAATCAGCACTTGATTTCTATCATCTAACTTAGGTTTGAAGTCATATCAGTCTTTTGTTGGGTAGAAAAAGATACATTTAAATCAGTTAATAGCAGTTATTTTACACTCTATTCAGTTTTAAAATTCAGTTTTTATACAAATTTAAATTTGAGTTTAAAAAAAAAATCACACTTGTAAATGAATCATTTCTTTTTTTTTTTTCTAACTTGAAAGGTGCCTTCATTTTAAAAATTATCACAATTTTCAATTGTAGCCAAATGCTTTTTGTTTTTTTAAACTGCCTGCCTGTCCTACTGTAAAGATAATTTGTTTTGCTTTTCATTTCTTTCTTTGTTATGAAGTCCTTGCCAATATCTTTGTTGTCATGTGGAATTTTAGTTTCATTCATTTATATATTTGTATACATTTGAGTTATTTTAAATTTTATTTTCATTGCGTTATTTGTGTGTGTTATGAAGAAAAGGATGCTTTTCAGAACATAAATTTTGTGTTAATTTGTTTGTGGTTTGATAAAAAATATGTTTGTTTATGAACAAACCATTTAGTAATTGTGACTTCACAACTTGTTTGTTTATTTAAAGAACCCACCACCATTCTATGATGTCATTTTTGTTATTTTTTTTTCTTTTCTTCACAGTCTTTATTTTCTAATTATTTTCTGATTTCCAAACTTGTAAGTCATTTTAGCTTCTCATCCCTGTTACATTAATATACAAGAGCCTCAGCATACCCTGCTCCCTCTAATTATGCACTACCACAGCCACGTGCTTGTCATTGAGAGGTGGGTGTCCTTTTCAACTAGGTCATTTCTAATGGCAATGGTGGTTCTAAATAATTTGTTCTTTAAGAAACAGCCAGATCTTTATTTAATGTTTTCTAAATCTGTCACATTTTGTTACTCAGTGGACAAGTAACGTGATGTCATTTTAATATTTTTATAGCCTTGAAAAGTGAAATTGTTCACAGTAGTAAATCAGTAAAGTTTAAAAATGACCTAAAATGAATTTACCTAAGTTACTATTGATATATATATATATATATATATATATATATATATATATATAGTTTTTAGTGTTTTAGTGGACTCAGCAGTTTTCAATCTGCTTGTCTGAATCATCAAGAAGCAAGAGCAAGAACTAAAAGGTCAGCCAATCTAACAGTGATCTCATCTCACAATCCTCACTCTTGCTCCATATGTGGCCTCCTTTGTAAATCACTAGCGGGTCTTAAATGCCACTTAAGATTATCGCACAAAATTTCATAACTGAAACAATTAAGCTGTCAGATCTTCATACGTCGAAACCAACGGGGAGAGTCCATTATTATATATATATATATAATAAATAAATGAGAGAAAGAACAGATGGAGGAAAATTCCACTGTTCATAGCATTTACTTTTAAAAAAAGTGCTCAATACAAAGTAGAGCAATATCATATTATTATTTTTATTATAAGAGATTATATTAAAAACATGTTGAAATTGCTACACAAAAGCTTTCATGTTTTAATACTACTTCTTCAGGAGATGGTAAGTAACCCTTACTTACCATTGCCTGAAGAAGTACAATCACAGTATTGAAACATGAAAGCTTTTGTGTAGCAATTTCAGCATGTTTTTATTATAATCTATTATATGTCTATTCCACTGTTTAATCTGCAAGTCTTATTCTCTTGGAGAAAGAATTTATTCACTTTACCTGAGCCCTGTCTTTTAGAACAAATGAGAGCCTTCATCCATCTAAATGCTCTCTTGCACACACACACACTA